ATTTCATTTCTGGATTTGGCATTCCTCGTGGGTGGAAAATACTTTTTCAAAAACTTTTCTGCCATTTCATTCCATGTAGTCATAGAGTCTGGTTACAAAGAATTGTACCATGCTCTTGCTCGATCCTTTAGTGAAAATGGAAAAAGTTTTAGTCTCAGAGCATCGTCTGAAACATCAGGGATGAGAAAAGAGTGTGATTTCCATAAAAGAACGCAGATGAGAATGAGGATCTTCAGAAGATAAACCAACGTATTGGCCGTTTGTTTGAAGCATTTGAAACATCATTGGTTTAAGTGAAAAATGGGTGGCACCAATGGTAGGCTTACGTATCCCTGTGTGCAGTTGAGTTAAGTTAGGAATAACATACGCCATAATGCCACCATTTTTAGCATTTGCAACACGAAAGATGTTTTGAGCTTCATCCTCATATGGAATATTTAGTTCATTTCTAAAAATACCTTCTCCGTCAATAATCACATTTTCAGCCATCGTTTCAGAGTTTAAAGCTCGAAGAACTCTTTACACTCTTCTTCGTTGTCTAAAAGTTTGTTCAATATCCGGATCAAGTGGAAAAAATTCACCGTGCGACAGTCTTGGCATGCACAGTGTGTTCACAAAAAGATGGTAGAAAAACTAACTTTTATAAACTTTACTTTTAAAAAGAAAAAACTTCAGCGTACTATCCCCGGCAACGGCGCCAAAAACTTGCTCGTCGGTTTATTCAACATTAGATTTCAACACAAAAAATAGAACTCGGCGCAAGTATACACCTCGAATTACTGTCGTCTCGTAACAAGTAATAATGGTAAAAAGTACCAGATATCGTTCCCACAGAGATAGCTTGTAAAGTTATTTCAAAAGTCCAGTTTATAAAAATTAATTTCAGATGGCGAAATGAGGGTTTTGATTTATCTAAAATTGAGTGGTTTAATTAACACTAAGAAAATATCAATCTTAAAAAGAAGCACATGGTGCAACAATTGATTAAGACTTTAAACAAATGATTCAGTAAAAATGTGACATAGCATCCTTGTCACAATTATCTAAAATCAATAAATGATTTTATATAACTATGACAATATCAACTATCGGGTCAGACGGCCTCCCAGGAGCACACACCGGTCAATGTGCTATCGATACGATATCATTTATGTTAGACGTCGTGAATCCTAGCACAACACAGTGTTACCATCCTACACCGTAGGAGTATAGCGTTTGTCAGACACTAAAGCTATTTATAGCCTTCTCCTATTACCTCAKGTTTTGAAAGTCAATACATTTTTATACACAAAATTAGTTGTCAATTAATTTTAATGTAATCATCAAATGAAATATTAAGTACCTGAAATAAATAGTAGACTATAATGCTAATAAGACACCTTTCACATCGGCTTTGGTCTTAATTTCCCGTTATACCCCAAGCTAAGGCGTTAGCCCATCATCGTTCGATTTCTTCTATCGAATGATGTAAGGACTGAAAAATAAATACTGAGACGAAAAAATAAATTATAGAAAGTAAATTACAAGAAATGGAAATACTGGAATTTAAGGTACTGAAAATTAAATGACATAAATATAAATTGCAGTAAAGTAAAGACTGAAATGTAAATGACTGAAATGTAAAAGACTGAAATATAAATGACTGAAATATAAATACTGAAATATAAAGACTGAAATATAAATAACTGAAATATAAATTATTAATAACTAAATAATATTAATTAATATTAATCTAATAATGATGAAAGGAAGTACATGATGAGATGACAAGTAGTACTTTGATGGGAAGAGAAATGACATATGAAAACCTTGGAAAATGGGGTTGACTTTTGATGAAAACTTTTTTTTTTGAACGGAAACCAGACAATTTTATAAACCATAAAGAAAAAGTACAGCAAAAACTTGCAAGTCAAGTAATGAAACTTGCAAAACAAGTTTTGTTACAAAGACCGAAAGATTACTTACAAACTCGTAAAAACAGATTATTTATACTACGTAAATTAGTCGTGAGCCACAAATGATGAGATCCGATGTAAAGCAACAACGATCGACTAATTCGTAACTCGTAAAAGATAAGAAAACGTAACGTAACTTGGAACAGAAATGAGATGAAGATTAAATACGAGTACTTAAATTAAAACTTGAGAACGAAAGCACAACTACAAAAGTTGGTTCTTGAAAAGTCAAACAAAGAAAACCGAAAGCTTGGAACCGAAAGCAATATTCTTGGGGATGACTAACACAAAGATCTTAAGGATTAAATGGTAGAAAATATGAAAAAGTCTCCAAAAGTATGTGAATTTGTGGGTAAACATAAGCCTTAAGCCTTCTTTATATAGGCTAAGGAAGATTACATAGTGGGTGCCAACTAATAAGACAAAAGCTTCTTCAAAACTGGGTTTTGACCGGGCCCAAGGTCGTTGACCACGCCTCCTCTATGGATCAGCCCATTTCTCCACGGCCCAAGCAGAATTTCAGCTCTCGGACAGGTACTATAGGACCTTGCCACTCCTGGTCCTGTAGGACTGCCATAGGATTGGGCCCAAAAATCATCAAAAACCTGTAAAAACAGAGAATTAACATTAGATATACTATATTACTACTAATATATGAAAAAGACATAAAAAGACTCAATTAAGACACTAATGGACAAATAAAACAAAGGAAAATTGTTAGGAAAATGATGTAATAAGGTTAATAAAATAACACTTATCACTTGGTTCAAATACTAACCAAGATTTTTGTGTTAACTTTGTTAACCAATCTTGGCCATTGATTCTTACAATAAAGGGTTGTGATTAATCATGATAAAAAATTAAAATTTTAAATTTACAATTTCAAAGAAGATATGTGAACAAAGGGGAAATGAGTATTTAGGTAATTTTCTTTTTTATGTAACTCCCATATCATTAATTGTGAATTACAAAATCAAAAAATCTCATTATTTTTATTATTTTATTTTTGTTAATGTAAGAACCATATGAACACACACAGACACATATATATGAACCATTGTGTCAAATACGAACAAAAATTGACATATATATGAACTTGGACTGTATAGCATTTATGAACACAATATGAATATAATAAGAATAGTTGTTACACGAAAGTAAATAAATAAAAAATAGGTATGAACACAATATGAACAGTTTGTGAACAATAATTCCTTCATTATGAACACATTCAGGAGCAAGTCAATGTTGAAATATGCAGCTAGTGTACATATGAACACAATATGAACAGTTTGTGAACAATAGTTCTTTCTTCATGAACACATTCAGGAGCAAGCCAATGTTGAGATATGCAGCTAGTGTACATGTGAACACAATATGAACACTTGTGAACAATTCTTTAACAATTCTWTAACAATTACATATGAATTCGAATTCCGATTGTAGTCGTAGATGATTTTAACCTTTTCATTCTCATTGTTGTCGATCTGTTTTCTAATAGGTTTATCCATATTACTCGATAGATATCGAAATCTTTACAATCGGAAATTCTTTAACAATTACAAAATCAATATCATTATGGATAGAATAAATCAAAATTACAAAATATGAACACGTATTAAAAAATATCAATATTACATAATCATCAATTATTGAGAATTTTAGATTTGTAACTTTCAATTAATGATTTAGGAGTTACATAAATGACAAATTACTTGATTATCCTTGTCATTAATATATGAGTTATATAATAACCTAAAGTAAAGATGAAATATGATTGATTGAGATTGGTTAACAAAATTAACACAAAAATATTAATTAATATTTAAACCAACCCCGATTATAAGATAGTATAAATATATATATATATATATATATATATATATATAAACACATTATATTATAAAATATTTAACAAAAACCTTAAAACATATACAAGATTAGAGCTAAATTGAACAAATTTTATTAAAGTTACATGTCTCATCGGTGCGTGTGGATCTCGGGAAGACTCCAAACTGGAATCGGAGTGGAACTCCTGCAAGGGAAAAAGAGGGAAGAACATAAACTACTTTTCTCTCTCGATTATCAGTCCATAAACACACAATCGGTTAACCATCAATCCCTTCTTCCAGTTTCAATTTTGGGGGAGAAGAGGGTTGAAATCAACGATAACAACGGAGAAGAAGCAAAGACGACGGATATGAAGAGGAGTAATCGTATTACATCCTCTATTTTTCCCACATTAATAGTGATCTATGGCGTTCTCTTCTTCATCCTGTCGCCAACAGCAAGCGCAGCTGGATCTCTCACCTCCTGCAATAACACGTCTGTCCCAGTAAGATTTCTTTCAAATTTCGGTAAAATTGTTGTTTCTTTATGCTTCATCGTGAAAAACGAATGTCTTTTATCCGTTACTGAAATTCTTCTGTGATTACGGTTCGTCTACTGCTAGAAATGTCTTAATTTTACGGGAATTGCAGTTAAGGTGTAGTGGAAAAACTTAAGGGGGGGTTTATGATTTTGATTTCAATTCGAATGCTTTTGGCCAATGCCTCTGTATGTATAATTTTTATTTTATTGTTATTATGATGATGCACTAAGCGAGATTAATATCAACTGAATGCTATGAACACGGGGAAAGATATGAAGTTTTTGAGTTTTAGTTTTGAAGTTTGGTGTAAATTGCGAATATGTTATTATAAGCTTCGGCTCTGAATAAGTAAGTAGTTAATTTCTTTTTATATGTCCAAACTGCATTTCTTTCCACTGAAACTCCCTGTTTACCAAAAGCTTACTCAAGTAAGCGTTAACAGGTAAAACTCAACACCATCACTTACTTACCAGGTAAGATTTAGTCTAGCGAAACGGTACCGTATGCAACATTTTAGCAGTAAGCGCTAACCGTAGTAAGAGTCATCGCCCTCACTTACCGGGTAAGACTCTCGGTCCTGCCTTCGCTCTTTTTGGGTGAAATTCTTGGTCCATGCCATATTCATCTGGTAAAGTAATGACTTGGTAAGCTCCAGGTAAGCGTTTGGTAAACATCCCCTAAGTCCATAAATATGCTCTAATTGGTTATGCCACTTTTCTTTCTTCTCTGTTCTAAGCAAAACCCTTCCTCTCTTGTGCATTCTGCATTGAAGATGACAAAATGATCACAAGTGATTTTCTCTCATTTTCTTTTAGTGCATGCATCATGCTTCAAACTTGTTATTGTGCAATTGCACACATCACAGATTCACCAGGACTTATTCATTCTCAATATCCCAAAACATCACTTATTATCGGATCCTCTCTTCACTGGGGGTTTACAGAAAGATCCCTCATTCGATAATACGTAATTTACTGAATGTCAGGAAAAGCTCTGCAAACAAGACAATTATTATTCTGATACTGGTGAGAAATGGTACTGCTAATGAATGAATAAGTGAAATAGCTGGAATTTACGATGTCGTTTTTTATCCTATGAATAACAGTGAATAATATGCTGAGAATTAGAATCTAGACTAAGAAGATTATGTCACCAAGAATTAATCCCTTTTGGACCGTGAACAGATCCTTAAAGATAGACCTCAGATGCATACTTTAGAATAGACGCACACATGTGTGTGTAAGATTTTGCAATTAGTATCAATTACATGTAACTACTTATTTAATCAATTGACTTTCAAATAGGTGGTTGTCTTTATGTGATTCAAGACTAAGGCATCAGGGGAAATACCACCAAATGCTAAAGTTGCTTACTTGTGCTTCCAACTTACAAACACAAGAGTAGAAAGCAAATGTACTCGCAAACACTTGAAATACAAGAGATGGAAGTCACTCTTCCCAGTTCCCTTTTGTTGCTTGCATCACATTCTTTTTCTCTATGATCCAGCAATAGATTCATTTTAAAAAGGTTACCTCATGGCACAAAACAGGATGCTATGTGGCATGCCCTTTTCTTCTCAAATGTTGTAGCACCTCACTTTGCACTCATGCTTCTTGCTTAATTTAAAAAACTGTCTCATCTTAAAAAAGGAATAAACCATAGTCTTAGTAAGTTTCCATGAAACGTAATTAGAATATGAATAGTAAAATGGGAATATAAACAAAAATACCAATGAAGTATAATTGAACAAAGGACCAGTTTATGACCGATTGGATAAAAAATGACATCCAAATGCTTGAAATACCAAATAACCTAGTATTCGATATTCTAGAGCATATCTTGTATGTTACTTATGGTTGGGGATTTGGAAGGAGACAACAGGGGGGGGGGGGGCTGGTTCCATTCAGGGGAAAGTGTATGAGCGTATGGACGTATGGTGTTTTCTGAAACAGAAAATTGTTGAGAAAGATGCCAAGTGTTTGCTTTAATAAAGTAGTAGAATTGAAGTCAAGTTATGAGGTTGGTTATCATGGATAACAGTAGCCTACTGCAATTCTGATTGTAGTTGGTATGCCATATTTTTGTGCATTAAGACTACACCCACTTTCAAGACACTGATATGCTTTTTATTTGGAAATATTTCAGGTAAAGATCAAAATTTGGGTTAATGGTGTTGAAGGACAAACATTAGAGGGTCAAAGTGCAACGTTCAGTGCGAAAATTCCCAAAACGGCCGATGAACAGGCTAAACAGTCTGCTGTATTGCCAAATCCATCAAATTGCTGTTCCAGTTTGTCCTCACAGGTTGTGTCTCATGTCTATTGGATGCAGTCTGAATATCTTGTTTCAGGCCATTGGATTATTCAAGAACTACTTTTTTTCATCTCCTGATAATTCTAGACCATTACATATTCAAGAACTACTTTTTTTTTTCAGCTCCTGATAATTTTAGACTATTACATATGCTTTTTAGGATAAGAAGTCCAGGGAGTAACGAGTTCTAAAGTAGAGGTGTTACTTTAGCTGACCCACCTACTTTGGCTTTATTATGTGGTTGAGTTGCAACGTCTGATTTTTTTTCTTTTAAGATAGTAGGCAATGCGAAAAACCCAAAGTTTTGCTGAAGAAAACGATCTTTTGTTGTTGATTTTACAAATACGGTTCCATTGACATGGGCCTTTGAATTTATGTGTTATAAGTTGCTGATCCAAAACAAGATCCTCTCTTTTTTGGTTTTTTTAATATAAAGATTGTACCAATGGTGGATTTTAAAACTGTTTAGCAGTTATCCGGCTCTACCGCTTTGGCCCCCCGTGGTGATTGTGACTACCTGACCAAAGCAAAAATGGCACAGTCTGGAGACGCAGCAGGGTTGGTGGTCATAAGTGATACTGAAGGTTGTACATTGAAGCAACTGACTCATTTTATCTCTATGTGATGTTTATTACTGCTTCAGTACTTGCAAGAATGATGATCTTCATTCTCTCTACCTATTTCTAACTTCTTTCAGGATTATAGATCTCTCTTCCTGTTTTGGCTTGCAGATATAGTGGAGATGAGTTGCTCTGAAGAAACTGCCTTGGACATAAGTATTCCTGTTGTGATGGTCTCAAAGCTTGGAGGAGAGGCTTTGAACAAATCTCTACTAGGAGGAGGCACTGGTAACCATTGGAAATAACATAATTTATTATGAATTTGTACATATTGGTATATTTTATTATTTGTCTCTCAATAGATATTGGAATTTACAAGAACAGTGGATAAAAAGGACTAAGGGGCCATGCATTGGGCCTTACGAGAAAATGTATCTTGTTATCTCCATGGACGTGAAACCAAATGAAATTTCGATGGAAGGGACTGTATTAACAATTTACCATATCAAAAACCATGTGCCACAGTGATGTGTATATAGAAGGGAGCAAGGGTTTGTTTGTCAAGTGATATGCCAAATGTGTGCAAGTTTGTGGTGAGAAATGAGCATGATCATCTCACCTTAATGGACACGTACACCAACAAGTTTGTGGCGAGAAATATGAGATTAGGAGTTAGTATCCAACTTCAACTAGTTGGCCTCTGCAAGCTAGTATGTAAAAGGAGCCTCACATTCATTTTGTTGACTTACATCCTCTCCTTTTCAAAATCTGCCTACTTCTGTATTCCTGCATGTATTTATCATCGGAGGCTCGGTCTTGGGAATTTTCTCTTGGAGTGAAGGTGCCATTAAGAGTCGATTAATGATCAACAACGACATGTGAACCCTTCAATGAGTGAGGATGTCGTCCTAATGAGACCTTTTGGTGTCATTTGTCTATTTTCCTTCTAAAAGCACTCATCAACTATGCTAAGCAAGCAAGTTTATCTCTTAGACCACAAGGGGGTACCTTCTTACCTAGACTGAATGACAAACACCACTTATGTAATACTCCAAATTCTACTTCGGGTGCCGTTACTTTCTTTTTGATACTACCAAGTCTTGAATATGAACTTGAAATTTAACTTTATTTATAACTTAGCTTATAATCACTTCGGAGTTCAAATACTAGTGGAAACGTAACTCAATAGCTTATAATACAACAAAATTTGCTATTGATTTGAACAGTACTACTTTATGCAAATCCTATTTACTCCTTCCATGAGATGCATACATGAGATACATAAGCTAAAATCTTTAGTGAGTAGTTATGGTTTCATGAATAAGCAATTTTCATGATACTCAACATTTTGTGAATAATAATTCACTAAAACTCTTTTTATCAGGCATAAACATAGTCTTGTTATCATGCATATACATAGCCTTGTTATCATCCATAAACTTAGTCTTTTTATCATGCATAAACATTTTTTTTGAGATCTCACTTGAGACATGTAAGTATGCTATACTTGTCTTGAGGTTTGCTAACCCCCGGGTCCATAAAGGCTGTGCGTGCCATAAGGTCCGTTTGCAAGACATCCCTTCTTGTAATATCTCGTACATTGGATATTTATGGTCATACATAAGATGTAAAAACTTTCATACCTTGTGTAAAACATGCCTTGTCTATAAAACACATACTTATATCATAACATGTGAACACTTTAATGCCTTGTGTGTAAAACACATACTTATGTCATAACATATCATCATGCATATCTTGAATATATGAATGTATCAATATTTTCATGTCAAGCAACATGCCAAAATATCTTATAATGTATAAAATACCTTATATAGCATTTTTGTATTTCATAAATCTCATAAGGTACTCACCTGGAATATGCCTAGCTTTTCATTTGATTACTTACTTCAAGCTTGGTAATATATATATAGAGAGATTTCTTATTTTTGGTATGGAAGTAATAGTAACACTTCAACCCCTATTTATGGGTGAATTCATTGCATTAACTGCTTGTTCTAGCTCCCGAAGTTGTACTCTTATGAGAGTTTAACACCTCATTTTTTAGAATAATCTTGATACCTCGTGCTTCTAGCTAGAGAATCTTGACACATCATGCCTAGTATTTCCTTGTCATGCTTTTTAGCTCTTGCTTGTCATCGTGAATTTTGCCAACTCATGCTTCTAGCCTTGACAACTCATAACTAGCTTGCTTTGTCATGCTTACTAGAGTTGCTTTGTCATGCTTAGTAGACTTGCTTAGTCATCAAATAGCTTGCCAACACATACTTCTAGCTCTTCCAACTCATCATTTTAGGTTTGATTTCTCATGCTTTGCCTTGCAAGCTACTTGCCTTGAAAATATGATAATTTAATAGATGCTACAGCTATGGGAACCTTTTTAGAGTAATTAAATTGCTCATAATATTTGTATGTAAGGCTTAAAACATTGTGATTTAACAAATATGAAACTAGGGTGTTACAACAAGGATTTCTTACAAGGATTTTGTCGTCGAAATTTTACTCAAAAAGATGTGGGTACTTATTCCTCATTTCCGACTCGACTTCCCATGTTGCCTCTGATCCATGAGAATAGTCCCAATGAACTAATACCAATGATACCTCTTTGTTTAGAAGTTTTTTAATTTTATGCTCAGTGATAGCTATGGGTTCTTCTACGAAGTTAAGTTTATCATCAACCAAGATTTCTTCAACCTCGTTTCTATAACATCAAATAACCCACCAACTATCTTCCATTCCTTACCACTTAGATATATGCAAACTCAAAATATCTTATAACTTGCTATGTCATACTTACATTTCAACTTACTTCGACATAATAATATCGTAAACTTTACATTTATGGAAGTATTCTAATAGTAGTTCAATAGCCTAACACGTATAATTGCTACTATAAGAACTATAACTCTTCATGTTGGTCTCTTCATTAGCTACTTTGATCTTACATGAGATAGTTCTTATTTCACCTATCCATCTAGTATTATACACATGTACCAATTCTCCATTCAGGTATGTAGCTTAATCGTATTCTTTTCAGATACCACTTTAGCATCATTTTTTGACAACGAAACCATTCCAATATTGTATCTCATTTTTCCTAAGCACATCAACTTAATTAGGTAACTTCTTACCATTTAGATTGATCGAACAATCCTCAAGAATCTCATTAACCTTTATCTGATCACCATCAACGGTCATTACTACCTTACTCTTATCTAGTTGCTTAGCCTATATAGTCAAGTAGTTGAAACAAAGCTTTTAGATGTACTTGAATCGAACAAAACTAAGGTACAATAACTATTGACAAGAAACGCACCTGAAACAATGTCAGTGATTCTTTAGGCCTCATCTACTATGATGACATATGCTGTATCCTTTGCCTCTGGCTCCTTTTTTTTAAAACTAACTTCCTTATGCCGACATCTAGACTTTTGCTAAATTCTGCTGAAGCTTGGGACAATTTGATTTGATATGCCCATTATACAATACTCACAAGTGCATCTCTTTGTATTGTTCTGTTGTGTGTCATGGCTTAACACATTTGTCGAAACCCTATGTTACCTACTTGTCATGCTCAAAAAATGTCTTCTGTTAGACTTATTGTATAAAGGATAACTCAACTCTTATCACTTGGCATATTTCTTGACCTTAGATGGCTAATCACTATCTTTGTCACATATCACATCCTTTGGTTATAATCAAAAATCTTTATCCATACCACGATCCTCTACTAGTTTACAAAATTGTCATGAACTAAGAGAACAATTTTCTTATTGTTTACTACTCTTATTAGTTATATCTTAGCTTTTACCTCGATGTTTAACCTTGGAGTCACCTTAGCTTTGGCCTACATAAACACTTTGTATGGCCAGATTCATGACATCCTCAATTTTGAATGTTGTTCTACCATTGTTGTTGATAATAAAAAATTACAACATATACGTGTCCCAAACATTTTTTCGTGTCATAGTTTTGTATCATAGTTGTATTAATACCTTTAATAGTAAGCCTGAACTGAATTATTTACTTTCAATAATATTGATTCCTAACATAGTCTGATATTATATATCAGAAACATGGTTTCTATGATATGGACATTATTGAATACTACTGAGAATAATCCACTAAATTAGCTAATTCTAATCATCATGATCATTAATTCTCATCCCACATACTACATAAGTAACATAACTAGGTGATATTTAATCACCATTTTGCAACATAATGAAGGAAAGCTTTACTTGAGTATTTCATCAAAGTATAAACTTTGAATGAAGTATTCCATCGAAGTATAAATTCTTAAGTCTTAAGGTTTTAAGGTTATACGAGTTTGTAATCTATTTCTCTTACACCACAACTCTTTTATTCTAATAAGGTCAACACCTTCTTACTAATCCATCTGACTACCAATATGAAATAGCCCGGCTGGTATCACGGGAAGCAAGGATCTGTTCATTGCAAATATCATCTGCGACTTTTTTGAAGTCTAACAACTCAGCCGGTTCAACATTTCTAGACACTATCCGATATGGTTACATAGACCAGGATAAGAAACGAGCGAAATAATTTGGAGTTCAGATATATGTCAGTTATTTTGAATATATTGCTCTAATACTCAATGTTATCCTCCTCAATTTAAGTCGAAGTTACCTAATTTAAGGCAATCTAGTTCACTTAAACTAATACACTAATACTAACCTGTAACCCCCCAAATTCTACTTCGGGTGCCGTTACTTTCTTATTGATACTGCTAAGTCTTGAATATGAACTTGAAATTTAACTTTATTATAACTTAGCTTAATATTACATCGGAGTTCAAATACTAGCGGAAACATAACTCAATAGCTTACAATACAACAAAATTTGCTATTGATTAGAACAAAACTACTTTATGCATATCCTCTTTACTCCTTCCCTAAGATACGTACATGAGATACGTAAGCTAAAAGCTCTAAAAGCTTAGTGAGTAGTTATGGTTTCATGAATAAACAATTTTCATGACACTTGACATTTTGTGAATAATTATTCGGTAAAACTCTTTTTATCATGCATAAACATAGTGTTTTTATCATGCATAAACGTTCTTTTGAGATCACACTTGTATGCCATACTTGTCTTGAGGTTTGCTAACCTTCGGATCCATAAAGGTTGCCCTCTAAGGTCCATTTGCGAACCGTCCCTTCTTGTAATATCCCGTACGTTGGATATTTATGGTCGTACATAAGATGTAAAAACTTTCATGCCTTGTATATAAAACACATAGTTATAACATGTAAACACTTTAATGCCTTGTGTGAAAACACATACTTATGTCAACATGCATATCTTAAATATATCAATGTATCAATATTTTCATGTCAAGCAACATGCCAAAATATCTTATAATGCATAAAATACTCTTATATAGCATGCATGTATCTCATAAATCTCATAAGGTACCTTGATTATGCCTAGCTTTTCATTTGATTACTTCAAGCTTGATAATGTATATAGAGAGAGATTTCTTATTTTTGGTATGGAACTAATTGTAACACTTCAACCCCTACTTATAGGTGAATTCATTGCATTAACTACTTGTTCTTCTTGCTCCCAAAATTGTACTCTTATGAGAGTTTAACACCTTATTTTTGAGGATAAGAGAATCTTGACACCTCATGCTTCTAGCAAGAGAATCTTGACACATCATGCCCAGTATTTCCATGCTTCCTAGCTCTTGCTTGTCATCATGAATTTTGCGAACACATGCTTCTAGCCTTGACAACTCATTTCTAGCTTGCTTTGTCATGCTTAGTAGATTTGGTTTGTTATCAAATAGTTTGCCAACACATATTTCTAGCCCTTACAACTCGTCACTTTAGGTTTGATTTCTCATGCTTTGCCTTGTAAGCTACTTGTAAGTTACTTACCTTGAAAATATGATAAGTTAATAGATGCTACAGCTGCTGGAACCTTTTTAAAGTACTTAAATTGCTCATAATATTTGTATTGAAGGCTTAAAACCTTATAATTTTACAAATATGAAACTAGGGTGTTACAATTAACACTAAACGCAATTGCTAAAGGTAAGCTGTCCTCTCAACAGAGAATGATAGAAGGGTCAAACATCTCACGCCAGTCTTGAAGGCCTTTTCATACATGAAAAAAACTCTTGTCCTTGACAGATCAATAAATTTCCATGTTTCCGGTTCCTCCCTCTTGTCAGGTCAAATTCAAGCAGCAGTTCACACTAAGGAATTGAAAAACCTAAAAAATTGTCCAAAATTGCGTCACGTTTTAGCAAACATGAAAAATTGAATTAGTTAGAATATTCTCAGCCTTCACTCTCAAATAAACTCAAGGTCTTCTTCTATTTGAAGCTGTTGCTGGATAAAAAACTTCAATTTGATGTCCCTTGTGCATCATTGCCCATAATAACCTTATCTTCTACATGTTCACATCAAATGGTTACACAAGTACACATGTAGATTTCTTTTAGAGAACAAAGTTTTGTTATGAATGAACCAACCAGAACAGCTTTAAGAGGCAGCAGGAGATGATATGAAGATCTTTGAGGCCTCTTCCTGGACATCATAATTGTTTTCAGAGATATTGTAAGCCATGCTATTTTTAAAGAGTTGATAAGGACAGTATATGGTTTCAGGTGGAGGTGATTCAATGATTGAGTGGATTTAAATTAGATATGTAAGCTGTGATGTTTTTATTTGATTTTCTTCGATGTAAAGAAAAGCTGGTGTATGTTAATGATCTCCATGCTTGTGTTGTCACTGGTGGGTTTGTGTCTGATTAGGTTTTTTTCTTTTCTTCCTTTTTTTTTTTTGGGGGTTTTTTTTTTTTTTTTTTTGGGGGGGGGGGGGGAGAGAGTAAATGGGCTGAGTTGTAGGAGGTTGAACAGGGAGAAACGTATGGTTGCAAATTTTTGTTTTTGTTATTTCTGGGTTCTTAATTTAAGGCCATGACTGCATATCTTCTTTAGTTTTATGTTAGAAACCAATAGAAGTGACTGTTCAGATCTGAAAAATAATTTGCAACCTACTTGTTAGACATAAAATAGTTGTGATTGATTTGGTCATTGAGCAATACAGTGAGTAAAAATGTGGGTTTTGCTGTTTGTGCGTTTGAGCCATGGATGTGTAGAAGGACTTTATATTAATAGACATATCACAACCAGTGAAGATAGTAACATAGAACTGAATGGAAATTACTTATGTAAGTTACAAATGATGTCATTTTGAATGTAATAGGGGTACACAAGCCCACAGAAGTTGCACTATCATTGGTATCTTTATAGAGAATAATGTATTAAGTTGAAATTTGAGAGAGGTGGGGCAATAATCTTGGAAACATGATACCTTCTCCTATTCAAAAGAAGGATACTGGTGAGTCATCATGGGAACATCAGAGCCCTACCTTTCTTTTCGAAATTACATGTATGCTACTAATCAGTTTATGGTTTGTTTTTCCATATTTGTGGAAATTGACGTTCTTTTTTTTTGGTTGCAAATGTAGTTGAACTTCTATTATATGCACCGGAGAGCCCAATCATTGACCCTGCAGCGGCCTTTTTATGGTTGATGGCAGTTGCAACAGTAGTCTGTGCTTCACTTTGGCCTGAAATCACCAAAATTGAGGAAAGCAATGAGCGCTACGACGAGCTTTCGCCAAAGGTTTTTAGTGCATCACTCTCTGAATTCTCATCCTGACGCATAGCTATTTTCTCATTAAAAATTTAGACGCATATGTATGACTAAATTGAATTTCCTCATTTTTGCAATATATGCTTTGACAGTACATATCTAATTCATAATAATTTACTTAGGGGCTGTTTACCCAAACGCTTACCCGGTTCGGTAAGAGTCAACATTTTAACTTACATTACCGGGTAAGATTATAGTCTATTAATCATATGCAACAATTTAGCCGGTAAGCGCTTACCGAGTAAGCTTCGTCATCCTCACTTACTGGGTAAGACCTTCATCCTTATCATCACTCTTGCCAACTAAGATTCTTGGCCTTTGCCATCTTCATCCAGTCAGCTAAATGACTTGGTAAGCACTTACCGAGTAAGCATTTAGTAAACGGCCTCTTAGTCTTTTTGTAACCAAAATATTTCCTTGTACTTTCCGTTGTTTGGTAGATGTCTCAAGTCTAATGTATCTCCATGTTTGTGTTGAAACCTGGGCAGTTAATTGTGTGCTATAGCACCGCTATAGCTATAGCGGTTAGATGTCATTTGCGAAATAGCGGTCTGCAAATAGCGGCTTGGAATAACGGTACAGAAAATTGCGGCACTACCACTGCTATTTGATCTGAAATAGCGGCTATCATTTTTCCTGGCCTATTTTTTGTGTTTGGGATTTTTTTTTTGGGCTACTTTTATTTGACCCCATAGTTTACGACTTCTATTTGACCCAAACTTCAAGACTTTTATAAGGTTAGAACTTAAATAAACTCGATAAATTTCAAATTCTAACCAATATTGTATATAAGCAGCACCCCTAGGATCAGTTGTCTCCGGACTCTACTTCAATCTACGATTCTACCCCTCAATCGAACTCCGCTCCACTCTCCGGACTCTACCATCAACATTACTATTATGTTTTCACCCATTGTCACATACTCCCATTGTCCCATACTCCTATTTATCATTTTGTTTTTTCAATTTATAAACATAATTGTATAGCTATTGTTTTCAGTTTATAAGGATAATTGTGTAGCTCTGTTTTGTTTGACCCATTCATTGTTTTGTTTTCAATGTTAGGCATCTTTATTAATTTTATTTTTATAGGACAGTAATTAATAAGTAGCTTAGCATGTTGATTGCAATTAGTTCATTTAGTCGTTTGAGTTTTATGAACTCTATTACTATGTTGCTTGTGTGGTATTATTTGACTTGATATGTAGTAGGCATAAAATATATTAAGTTATATATATATATATATATATATTCATATTTATTTTATGAACGCATTATTTTACTGCTATACCACCCCGATAACATCGCGATAACTATGATTTATAATCACGCTCCTTACCGTGATTTCTGCGATCGACCGCGTTAATTGGTTAGGTTGAAACTAACCAAGGGCACCTTGCTGGTCTATGTCCTTGCTCGTTATAATCTGAATAGCTTTGTACACTTGTATGGTACAGATTTCCACACAGTGAATAGATTTTCTGGATTGTCAGTCAAATAAGTGTTTCACTGAAATTACATGAAACTGACGATTTGTAATATATTGAGTTGTCTAGTTGTAATAGATAGAATAGATTTGTCTTCCAAACACCTTTATTATAAGTGGTTAGGGATAATATATTATAATTGAAATAATTACATTATTACAACTGAAATGAAATAAATCGTATATTACAAGGACACAAATAGAACTTCAGCATCGCATCAGCGTTAGCTCAAGGTGATGTGCATGAATACCAGGGCTTAACACTCTAAATCTAACATAGACCTTCCTTACCTTGACAGCCTAGATAGCAGCTTGCACCACTTGAGGACAGTGATTGAAACTTGAAAGCAACACAAAATATTTTAGAAAAAGCTAGTACATATTACCAATATCAAATAGATCGAATTGTTTGAATTTCAAATATACAATATCCACACATTACATCACACTTAACCTAAAACTAAAAATTTGACTGAAGGTATCATAGCTACAAATGTACATCGATAGTCATTTTCTTAGTGAAGTTAAACATGTTATGGGGAGCTTCAATTTGGTAATTGATCCTTCTATTACATACTATGATTTTTTGGGCCCAATTTTTACCACCTAAATTTTTTGGGGGTAGATTTTAGCCCAAAAAATGCCATAACATGCAGACACCTAGTTGTTGCTGAGTTTCACAAGTCACTTGCTGTAATGAGTAGATAAAGGTGAGGGGAAGCCTTAGTATTTCGCTGTGTTATGTTTCCTAGACGATGCTGTAACATCTATGCTTACACATGTTTCAAAGGCCATGGACTCATAATACCCATAAAAAACCGCTGCCACCACCCTAGTGAACAACTTTATATTGTACTTATAAATGACCAAAGAAAAAAGCTAAACAAGGCAAGAATTTGAGAGGATGCTTTGGTATTGATGCTTGAGATTGCAACTTGCTTAGATAGTTTAGCCAAAACGAAGGCTTCCATATATATAGGCACCACCTCCTTGAAGGATTTTGGAGATATAATCCGACAATCATTATTGAGGAACCAGATTATTCTGGGTACTTCCATTATGTTATGAGGAACTTGATCATTTCTACTTACTTATGTACCCCTCTAGAGCATATTGGCACCCTTTTCTTTTTTTGCGAGGAGGTGGTACATTTTCTTCCATCTAATTTGGGATAGCCTCGTTGCTTGATTATGGTATTACTCAAACGTCACATATAGATATTGGCATAAATTAATTTTGGTTCCCATGTTGATTCGTTGTAAGGAAATCAATTCCATTTTGTTAAGCACTAACGATTGTAAAGTTGCATTGCCTTGGGAGTGACATGATGCATTAAGCCAAATTTTTGACTGTCAAGAAATTAGAGAAAATGATGTAGGGAGAATTTTGGAAGAACTGAGAAGTCGAAGGAATCTTATTTTCGAAATTGGGATTATTTTTTACAAATGAGGATAACCCAACCTATTTATAGGTAATAGCCAAATCACACAAGCAGAAAAAACAAACTAACTATTTCAATTAAAGCCACACCTAACAAATCTCCACCTTGGCTTTAATTCTAGTACATAAATTTTTTTACTTCTAGCTATCTTAGGAGATCTAAACAATGCCTAAGCTTGTTCAAAGAAACAGGTTTCGTCAGTGCATCAATTGGATTGTCATTGGTCTTCACTTCACTTAAATTCTCCTTTCCGAACGTATAAAGTGATAACGAACATCTATATGTTTCGCTCTCTCGTGATGCACCTGGCCTTTTGCAAGACAAATAACACTCATGCTGTCACAAAAAACTACAGTCTGATCTTGATGAAACCCAAGATCTCCAAGCAAACCTTTTAGCCAAATCCCTTCTTTTGCAGCCTCCGTAAGAGCCATATATTCAGCCTCTGTTGTAGACAAAGCAACAGACGGCTGTAACGTTGCTTTCCAGCTCACTAAGGCATCTCCAACAGTGAACACATATCCCGTTAACGACCTCCGTGTGTCAAGGTCAGTTGCGTAATCAGAAGCTGAAAATCCAGCCACATTACAATCTCCTTCTCCTCCATAAATGAGGCCTACATCAGCTGTGCCTTTGAGGTAACGAAAAATACGTTTCGCGGCAACCCAATGTTCTTTCCCTGGATAAGCCATGTAGCGCGAAACAACACCAACAACATGAGCTATGTCAGGTCTAGTGCAGACCATGACAAGACTTCCTACAACACTAGAATAAGGAACTTTGCTCATATACTCCACTTCAGCCTCTGTTTGAGGTGCCAAAGCCACTGATAATCTGAAATTTTCCGATGAAGGTGTGCTCACAGGCTTTGCAGAAGCCATACCAAAACGAGAAAGTATCTTCAAAATGTAACTTTTCTGGGACAAGAAAAGTTTATGTCTAGATCTATCTCGGATAATCTCCATACCAAGAATCTTTCGAGCAACCCTCAAATCTTTCATGTCAAACTCATAATTAAGGAGTCTTTTTAACTTCTTAATTTCAGCCATATCACGAGCCGCTACTAACATATCGTCCACATAAAGTAGCAGATATACGTGACCCATCCGCACCTTTCTTATGATAGATACAACAATCATAAGGGCTTCTAGTAAAACCATGACTCACCATAAAGCTGTCAAAATGTTTATATTACTGTCTCGGAGATTGCTTTAACCCATAAAGTGATTTCTTGAGCTTACAAACATAGTTTTCTTTACCTTGAGCTACAAAACCCTCCGGTTGACTCATATAGGATTCCTCTTCAAGCTCACCATGTAAGAAGCCATTTTGACGTCCATTTGTTCCAACTCCAAATTTGCTTGTGCTACTAGTGCCAACAACACCCGAATGGACCTATGACGCACCACCGGCGAGAAAATTTCATTATAATCAACCCCTTGCTCTTGGCTATAACCTCTAGCCACCAAACAGGCCTTGTATCTCACACTTTCAGCTCCTGGTAGCCTCGTCTTGTGCTTAAAGACCCACTTACAGGTCACAACTTTTCTGCCTTGGGGTAACTTCACTAATTCCCAAGTTCTGTTCTTGTGAAGGGATTCCATCTTTTCACTCATGGCTGTTATCCACACATCAGCCTCCTTCGTTGTGATTGCTTCTTTGTAAGTAGATGGCTCAAAGAACTCCATTTCTTCAACAACTTGCACAGCATTGGCCACCATGTCATCAAAACCATATCGAATTGGCCTACCAACTTGTCTTCGGGGATTATCTAATGCTATAGATCGAAATTCTGCAGGTTGGTGCTGATTTTCGGGCACGACAGGTTTAGTTTGAGGCGATTTACTGTTCTGTCCAGCAGTATTCTCGCCTTCATCGGGACCATTTAACTCGTACTCCACTTGTTCGGACACACTCTCCTCTTGAACACTTGGAGTAGATGAATACCTCACGCCACGTAACATACTCTCCTCATCAAACACTACGTCACGGCTGAGAATCACCTTTCTTTTATCAAGAGACCAAATTCTGTATCCCCTTACTCCAGTACCGTATCCCATAAACAACCCCTTCTTTGATCTTGGTTCCAATTTTCCTTCACTAACATGGTAGTATGAAGGACAACCAAATATTCTTAAGCCCGTGTAATCAACCGGCTTACCAGACCACACCTCAATAGGAGTTTTACAATCAATTGCCGTCGCCAGGGATCTATTCACCAAGTAGCAAACCGTGTTTAACGCTTCTGCCCAAAAACTTCTAGTCAACTCTGCATTTGACAGCACAAATCTCACTCTTTCCAGCAACGTTTTATTCATCCTTTCGGCTACTCCATTCTGCTGTGGAGTGTGCCTAACCGTTCGGTGCCTTGCAATTCCTTCATCTTTACAAAACCGATCAAACTCACCTGAACATAACTCCAATCCGTTGTCCGTTCGCAGCCGCTTTATCTTCTTCCCAATTTGATTTTCAATGAGAACTTTCCAATCTTTAAACATCTCAAACGACTCACTCTTATGCTTCATGATGAATACCCAAAGTCATCCTAGAGTAGTCGTCAATAATTGAGAGGAAGTAACAACCACCACCAAGTGAAGGAACTTGCAATGGACCCCAACAATCAGCGTGAAGGTAATCTAAAGTCGACTTGGTTGTATGAACAACTTTTGAAAAGCTCACTCTTCTTTGTTTTCCAAAGATGCAATGTCACAAAAGCCCAATTCAACAACTCTATGACGTGCAAGAAGTCCTTTCTTGCTGAGAATTACCATGCCTTTCTCACTAACATGCCCTAGCCTCATGTGCCACAGATGTGTCAAATCTGACTCATTCTCTACAGGATTAAGGGTTGGTGCTGCTGATCCAACAACCATGCTACCTTCAAGCACATACAAGGTACCTCTCTTGACTCCTTTCATCACTACTAATACACTCTTAGTGACCCGAATTATACCACCCTCACCGGTGTACTTGAAGCCTTTTGCGTCGAACACTTCCGAAGAGATTAAGTTTTTCTTCAACCCGGGTACATGATGAACATTTGTTAGAGTTCTCACTGTCCCATCATGCATTTTCATGCTCACCGATCCAATTCCAACAACATTGCACGACATGTCATTTCCCATCTAGACATTTCTAGTTTCAATCTTATCATAGATGTTGAACCAATCCTTATGTGGTGCCATGTGAATTGAACATGCGGAATCAAGAATCCATACCTCTGACTGACTTTTGCAATCAACCACCGAGAGCACCAAATCAGCCTCCGAACCCGAATCATCTTTTGCTACAGCAGCGGATCCTTTTCTCTTCAGTTTTGGACACTCATTTTTCCAATTATCCGAATCTTTACAATAGTGACAGCCATCCCTTGGGTTTCCACTTGGACCTCTACTCTTCGATCCTGATCGGCCTCTACTTTTCCACTTCCCTTTTTCTTTCTCTCGGCCTTTATTTCTACCTCTTTCTCTATCTCTGTTTACCATCGACAAGCCTACCGATTGGCTTTTGGTACTACTTCCTGAAGCTTTATGGCACAACTCTCGTGAGTGCAAACTTGAACGAACTTCTTCCATAGTAATCGTGTCTTTATCAACAACGAACGAGTTGACAAAATTTTCATATGAAGTGGGCAGTGAAACCAATAAGATGAGGGCAACATCCTCATCTCCAATCTTGAATTCAATATTCTTCAAATCCATAAGAATGGAGTTTAACTCCTCAAGATGTTCCTTCAAAGGCATTCCCTCCTTCATTCGTAATGAGAATAACCTTTGCTTTAACAACTTGTTCGTTAAGAACTTGGTCATGTAGAGAGACTAGTTTCAGCCATAAAGACGCAACAGTCTCCTCATCGACAACTTCATAAATCACCTCACCCGCCAAAGACAACAAGATGGTAGAGTGAGCCTTCTCATCTTGTTGTGCAAACTCAAATTCAGCCATATCTTCAGGCCTGTCACCAGCCAAGGGAATCCAGATGCCTTGTTTTAGGAGAGCTCTCATCTTAATTCTCCATAAGCTGAAGTTGTTCTTTCCTGTAAACTTGTCTATCTTGATCATTTGTGGAGGCATTTTGTGAAATCTTGAAAAGAACTATGGTACAAGATTCAATGCTAAGAAATCAAGAACAAATATCCAAACTAATCTTCAATCGAGTCGGCAATTTCTAAATTAGCTGCCCAAAATCGGTAATCCAAAAATTGACCGCCAACAAACGACCATTCAAGAAATCAAAACATCAAGTTTGATTGCTGGTCACAAGTCGATACCTCCAATTGAGCACCCAACAACAAAATTGATTGTAGAATAATCAATTTAGACCGATGAATTTTAGAAATTGACTGTTGTTGCAGATTCCTCAAATTGACTGCTGAATACGTCAATTTACACCATCGATTTCCAGAATCAAGAAGCTCCACCTTGAATCGGACACCAAATTGACTCAATCGCTTGCCAACAGAAAACGATTCCAGAAGAAAGCAACTCAAAGACAAAACCAAAATCGATAATAAGGCGAAATCCAAATCGATTGAGGAGGAGACCAAAGATTAGCTATTGGAAGGAACCCTAACGCTCTGATACCAATTTGTCAAGAAATTAGAGAAAATGATGTAGAGAGAGTTTTGGAAGAACTGAGAAATCGAAGGAATCCCAATTTCGAAAATAAGATTCCTTCGATTTCTCAGTTCTTCCAAAATTCTCTCTACACCGTTTTCTCTAATTTCTTGACATTGACAACTCACATGGTAAATGAGTGCAAACCTAAAGTCTTGGGTGCATGCCAATTGATGCCATAGTTGCGTTTCAAGGGAGGGTAGCAAACATATATGAGGAAAGAGCTGATATGGAGACATAGAAGCAAGGAAAGAGAGCTCGTTGTTACATGGTCGGTGATGTCATTACATACACAAAGACTCATCCGAGCATCATGAATTGGGTTAGAGCCTTGCTCTGAGAGATGATATCAAGCTCATGAAGGAGTTGACACGAAAGCAAGATAAGATAGCTTGTTGTGCAAGCTTGATGGTGTTGCATGCACAATGACTCATTGGGAGTTGGCCATGGTGGATGTCAAAGTAGCATCTTTTTTTATTTGAGCAGGATTGCAATGGAATCAGTGACATGGTTTATACCATGGTAGGGGGTGAATCATGAGAATAATATTTGCCAAAAATAAGTGTTAGAATGGTAGGCTTATATTTGTTGAGACTAGACATGAAGAAGGTTGATGTAGTGGGATTCCATTATGTGAAAGCGTGTTGTAGCAGGTGGAAGTGTCACTTCAACTATTGCGTGATTTAATCTAAGGATGACTGATGTGCCTACATTTTGCGTGTGTTGATTAACGATATGTGACAATGACAAATTCATCTGGTATATCAAGTATCCCTATGAAGCACTCAACTTGGAAGATCGGTAAAACTACACTTGCGATGCTTTACCCCACCTATATTACCTCTGGTCTTGTAAAAAGCATTCTTAGATACAAAGGGGAACACCGGCTATAAACACATGGGGTGCTTTCAATTAAAGGAATTCTAACATGTAATGTTACCTAAGAAACCAAAAAAGGATGGAGCACAAATAATATTTTTTGGAGCTATTTACTCAGCTATAACTCAATAGATTGAGTAGGAAACCTTAGAAAGTGAGTGTTCAAAGGGCGAACATGAGAACTTTGAAGAAAGGTCAACGAGTTTGGAACCTCATGCTTTGAATCTGTCATTTAGATGGGTATGATTTGATCACTTTCGAGGATAAGCTGATCCGTAGTCTGGCCAAGAGTTCCAAAGCTGTCTAGTTATAGATTTAGCTGTTCCTTGGTGGTGGTTGGCAAAATACTTTAGCAAGGATACAACCAAGCTATCCAAGTTTCAAAATTACTGGGGCATCTAATTCAATGTCAGGAAGGCAAGAGGGATGCCAAACCTTTAGCTAGTTTCTTACTATGGATGGTCCATATTTGGTGAAGGAATGCTCGAGGAAGTACACTTAATTCAATTACCAGGATATGGCTGGCTAGGCCATATGACCTAAAAGAAGGAATGCATGATGACAGGATCATATACAAGGTCCCAATGCACATGCACAAGGAAACATAATAGGATTTCACTAGGTATCTGAAATCCCCTATATTGCCCTATGGAGCTCTAGAGAAGTCTGGTGTCTACCTTGTATTATTCCAGAACCCTTCAACATATTGTGCACCTACCTTCTTGGGACTAGAGTGTTCTCTTGAGGGAGTGGACTCTTCTGTAGAAGGGGGAGAGATCCTGATGTGTAATGTATTCAAGAAGTGATCAACTAAGTGAGGGTTTTTGATAACTAATACATTTCTCTTTGAACAAAGAACATAATGAGTGCAAAGGCCCACAAACTGGTTAGCAAAAATACTGGTCCGTGATAGAGGCTATAAATAACTTCATTAATCGCCATCGGTTGTAATCTATATCTTCTAAGGTTCCACTTTTTGTAAAAGAGTCCTAAATGTTCCCTTTTAGGTCTATAAATGTATTCAAGATTTTACCTCCATGTGATATGCTTATACGATATTGTAAAGCTTAGTGAAACTTACTTTGCATGGGAGCACTTAGTCATGGATTGCTTATTGTTATTCTTTGATGTATCTGTATAGGAAATTGTTAATTTGTTTACCCTTTTCTCAAGCATGCCTTTTTGGAGCCAATAAGCCTTTACTGAATTAACTCTAATGCCATGGAACTTACTCAACTATAGGAAGCATATATGTTGTAAATTATCATCCATCACACATTGACATGTTTTATGCTATTTATATTTCGAGGATGGGAGGCTGACAAATAGAAGTATCTAACAAATTATATTTTAGATGCGATTCATATTAGCAATTGACTAGTTTTAGTCAATGTGGTTAACTTCTTTGATGATGAACATCATTACTTTTCCATCTGTGATCCCACATCTGACATGAAATTGTTCTTTCAAATGGGCAGCCAAATCGCAAAGATGACGAGGAGAATGAAATTATTGAGATGAGTACAATGAGCGCTGTAATATTCGTCATTACAGCATCAACCTTTTTGGTGCTGCTCTATCTCTTTATGTCATCTTGGTTTATCTGGGTGCTGATTGTATTTTTCTGCATTGGGGCTGTCGAGGTATCCAAACTTACATTAATGTTACATATAAAATGAACATTGTACAAATTTACCTGCTTGTCATCGTCTTTATTGAAGATTTCATATCTTTATGTTTCATGATACATTGCCTTTGTCTCTAGTAATGACATCGCCAATTTACTGGTATTCTAGTTGCTAATAGTTCTTGTGTCAAATATTGTCATATTGTTATTTTGAGGCAGGGCCATTAATTTTGACTGGAATAAAGTTAAGAGGAAAGTTTCCATCTTGGTTTAACCAACATCTTTACTTTGGCAATAAGGTTGCTTGCACTAAGCATGCATGGTTATATAGTAATAAATGCAATGTGTACGCGACTTGTAACATCCTAGTTTCTTTATTAGATAAATCTCAATATTTCAACCTTGAATGCAAATATTTATGAATAATTCAAGTACTCCAGCAGCTGTTAAGTGAAACATCTTAATTATAAGACTAAACAAGCTAGTGATGAGTTAAGGCTAGAAGTGTGTTGGCGAGTCTAGTAAGCATGACTAAGCAAGCTAGTGATGAGTCGTTAAGGCTAGAAGTGTGTTGGCAAGTCTAGTAAGCATGACTAAGCAAGCTAGTGATGAATTGTCAAGTTTAGTAAGCATGAATAAGCAAGCTAGTGATGAGTTGTTTAGGCTAGAAAAATATGAGTTGGCAAGACTATTGATTACAAGACAAGTCCAGGAAGCATGACAAGGAGTACTAGAAGCATGAGCTGTATAGATTATCTTATCCTTAGAGATGAGTTGTCAAGATTCTCTTATCTTTATTGATGAGGTGTCAAACTCTCATAAGAGTACAATCTTGAAAGCAAAAAAAACAAGTAGTTAATGCAATGAATTTATCTATAAATAGGGACTTAAGGGTCACTATTTGTGCATACCAAAAATAAGAATTCTCTCTATATTTACATAATTAAGCTTGAAGAAAGGAATCAAAGGGAAAAGTAGGCAAATCAAGGTGAGTACTTATGTGATTTATGAGATACATGCATGCTATATATAAAAGTATTTTATGCATTACAAGTTATGTTAGCATGTTTGCTTTACATGAAAATATTGATACACATACAAATTCAAGATATGCATGATGACATGTTTTAATACAAGGTAACACACAAGACATGAAAATCATTTACATATTATTATATGTGTTACACGAGGCATGAAATTTTTTACATGTTATTTATAACCATAATATCCAACGTACGGGATATTATAAGAAGGAACGTCTTGCAAACAGACCTTATAGGGCAGGCTTCTATGAACCCGGGGGTTAGCAAACCTCAAGACAAGTATGGTATACATGCATGTGACAAGTGAGATCTCAAATTAATGTTTTATGCATGATAAAGAATGGTACATTATGAATGTTTATACATGATATAAAGAATATTTTTATGCATGATAAAGTATGAATGTTTATGCATGATAATAAAGAATAATGTTATGCATGATCAAGGGCTTTAATGAGTTATCATATCTGAAATATCATGAAAATTTCTCATTCATGAAACCATAAATACTCATTAAGCTTATAGCTTATATATCTCATGTATGTATCTCAGGAAAGAAGTAAGGAGGATTTGCGTAAAGTAATATGGTTACGTTTCCACCAAGTAGTTTCTTCTTTGATGTAATTTCAAGATATGTACTAAATAAAGCTAAATTTCAAGTTCAGATTCAAGATTTAATAGTTTTATCATGTAAAGTAACGGCACCCTATATATAAGGACGTGGGGCGTTACACTACTGCACTGTAGTTTGCTTGTTTTAGTGACATGTTGATTATGCCAATTGTACTTCAGAAGGCCAACTAAATATTTACCAGAAATACAGTCTCTGTGCACATAAAAGGTCTAATTTTAGATGACAAGACATTAGAAATTCTAGGGTGCAATCAAGACAAACTAATAACGTCTCAGTGCACATAAAAAGTCTAATTTTAGATGGCACAACACATTACAATTTCTATTGTGGCAATCTGGACAATCTTTCTCTTCTTTTTATTGTTTTGGTCACGAATCTATCAGAAAGATAACAATCAAGAGAGCGAAGATGGGGGATGTTTTTGTATATTCAACTAACTGCACATTAGCACCTGCTTATATACAAAGCTTAACAGGTCTAACTACCAACAACTTATTACAACCAATTACTCTAACTGATTCCACCTAACACACTGTTAAATAGGCTTGAATGCCTTTAACAACTTCACATGAACTGTCATAGACTCATTTTATTAAATTATTAGATATGTTTTCTTTTGCACTTTTTACTTTATGCACAGATAGCAAAGCATTTGCAAGTCTTCTGTTCTACTTATTTCTTATTGTGTTTATCATCAGGGAATGCATACTTGTATAGTCTCACTGATCAAAAGGTAATCTGAAATTGAGTTTGTTTTGGTGTTTAATGGTCAACGTCGACTGTGTTTCTCATATATTTCTTTTTATTGTTGCTGTTCTTTTTCCTTCACAGCAAATGTAAAAGTTGTGGTCAAAAGACAGTGAAGGTGCCACTTTTTGGGACAACTACTGTTATGTCTCTACTGGTGCTTCTATTTTGTGTGGCATTTGCAACTTTCTGGGTATGCACTCGGAAGGAATCATATGCTTGGGTTGGTCAAGACATTCTAGTAAGCTACTTCCACAATATTCTACATTGATTTTTGTTTTCATGTATTTCTTGGTGGTAGTTGTCCCACTAACTTTCTAGTAATCTTGTTGCATTGTGCATCATTTGGTTGGGTTATTTTAGAAACTGACGAATTTCACTATGATCATGCTCAGAAGGTTTTGATGTGGTTTAAAGTAACTCATTTCGGTCTATAATTGTTCTGTTGCTTATAAAGTTTATTGCTTGATGATTGTTATTGATGATTTACCGAGGACTTGGTCTATTTTCCTCATTTAGAATCATATTTTGGATTCACTGAAGATAATGTTGACTTTTTGTCTAGTTTAACTTTTGGTTTGACGTTAATATTGGGATTACAAGTATTGATTTATTTGCAACAATATTTGTGTATGGAGATTCCTAGGAGTTTGGTTGATAAATGGATTCTGCGTTGTTATGGATGGAATAGTGATTTAAGTAGGTGGTATTGATTTCATATACATTGTGAAATTAGATATCTGTGAGGGAACTTTGCTTGTGGGAATACATATCAAAATATAATGAGGATGCCTACACATTGTTACAGAATGATTTATCTTTGAGCTGGGGTTCTTAATGAACAACTGTTGTTGAACATCCTCATTAGTATTTCTGGATGTCGGAGATACCAAAATTACTTTATTGCATTTCTCGGTGTAGATGAAGATATGCTGTTTAATTTTGGCCATGATGGGACCTGTAATAGAGGATATGATGTCTAGACATATGTTTCTTTATAAGAATATGAAAACCTATAAGCATGCAATCTTTTTCAGCACCTCAATGGCCTACAGAGGAGCTTTACTTATTCTTGATGAGTTATAACTTATTTCTAACACTTTTGAGCACCAAATATTTTGTCCATCACTTCAATGTTGCATATTCTACTTTGGTTCTCAATCATCAGCCATAGATGTTATTATTGTCGAATCTTTATTATCCGATTGCATGCAACTGCTTTTCAGTGCTTTCATACGAGTTTTTTTGGCTCTTGAAAATATCCACTGTCTTTCAACAGGGTGTCTTTTTGATAATAGCAGTTTTGCAATTAGCACAAATACCCAATATCAAGGTATACACTATATATTATTACATTAATAGGTCAAATTTATTGCTTGTATTAATGGTTTTACTCATGGTGTTGCTAATTTGTTATTATATTCCAGGTTGCTACTGTGCTTCTTTGTTGTGCATTTATGTATGACATCTTCTGGGTTTTCATATCACCTCTTTTCTTCCATGACAGCGTTATGATTTCAGTAAGTTATAGTTAATATGAATTTTACTCTTTGTTTTCTTTGTGAGAACTAGCTAAATATTGGTTTGTTTTCGGTGTCCTTCCCCCACCTGTTGTTGTGAAGACATGGGTTGAACAAGCCTCTAGCACACTCTTCTTTTGTTTGGAATTGATAGCTAGCCTAGTCAGAAGGGGGGGGGGGGGTAGAGGGCTAGAAGTTTAGGCTGAAGATGTTTTCTTGCCTTGCTCTGTGTGGGTATTGCCTTAACTGTGTACGTGTCCAATATACCTAACAGTTGGTTTTTCTTCCTTATAGTTCTCGTGCTTTGTTGACCATATGCTAATCTTTGTTCTTGCTTGCTCACTCTTGCGCAAGTCAGGGGTCTTCACAAAAATAATTTCTCTACTCTTCAGGTAGAGATCAGGTGCCAGACTGTACTTTCAAGTGGGATTCACAAGGTTTGTTTGGTTTTGAAGGAGCTAGAGTGTATATATAGTGAGCATACATGTTTAGGCTTGAATGCAATTGTTGCAAGGTTTTTAGACCTTTGAAGACTATTGTCAAATGAAGATTCATGCAAATTTGAGAGGGCAAATTTCTGGAGTGTGCTAGTTTATTGGTTTAGACAAAGTAAAGTACAAAGCAAGAGCGAGGGTGCAGGGATCTATTAAGACATTCAAACAACAAACTAGGTCGAAATGATGGTATAACATAATAAAATACTATAAATTGTTGAAATCTAATTTATTTGTACAATATTTCCTAGAGATTCTGGATCTTTTCCTCAGTTAGAGTTTCTTATTGTTCTCTAAGATTCCTTTGATTGTGTTTCCTTATTTTAGGGTTTTATTTTCTTGTATAAATACCTTTGCAGTGTTCTCTTTCACAACGAAAAATTCGAGCCCTCGATTTCTACATGGTATCAGAGCTAGACCTCGAAAACCTAAGTTTCTCCTTCTTGCTGCTGTTTCTTTTTCCAGCCATCATCTAACCACCAATGGGAACTTCCTACAAATCTGCTTCCTCAGATCTGATTCCTCCTCAAAATTCAAATACCACTCAAATTCTCGATAGTTCTCCACTCCCAATCACGTGTCACAAACTCAATGGACACAATTACCTCCAATGGTCTCAGTCTGTTCTCATGTACATCTTAGGGGGAGGAAAAGATGACTACCTCACAGGTAAAGTCTCTCAACCCAAATAATCAGACCCCTTGTATCGCCAATGGAAGTCTGAAAACCATATGCTAATGTGGTTGATAAATTCTGTGCTCTGTGAAATTGGAGAAAACTTTCTTCTCAATTGGAATGCCAAGAAATATGGAATGCAGCACGTGATACCTACTTATGTTCTGAAAACACTTCAAAACTTTTTGAAACAGAAGCCAAACTCGTTGAACTCAAGCAAGGAGACTCAGATGTTGCACAATACTTCAACACAATCACAAGGTGTTGGCAACATCTTGATATGTTTGAGGTATATTCTTAGAAGTACCCTAATGATGCAACCCTCTACAAAGAAATCATTGAGAAAAAGAGAAGATTCAAATTTCTATTAGGGTTGAACAAAGAACTTGACCAAGTCAGAAGCACAATCATGAGCTTCAAACCTCTCCCTCCAATCCGAGAAGTTCTCTCTGGAATCCGAAGGGAAGAAAGTCGAATGATGCCGAACTCTTCACCACACTTGGATGGATCTGCCATGATAACTCGCTCGGCTTCTTCAAACAACAAGACTCAAAAGGGAAGACCATGGTGTGATCACTGCCAAAGAAAACCTGTCGGAAAATCCATGGAAAACCTGTAGATTGGAAAGCAAGAAGTAGGAGTGATCAAGGACGTCTCCACATGGCTGCAAACAATGAAGAAACATCAAAAGAGGTCAACCCTTTCACAGAGGATCATATTGATGCACTCCAGAAACTCTTCGGGCAGTTATCATAACAACCAAACTCACCTTCAATCAATGCAAATATCAGTCACCAAGGCACCACTTTTCATGCATTCACTACAGCCTTCAGCACCACACGTCCATGGATTGTGGATCCAGGGACATCCGACTACATGACAGGTGATTTAAAGTCTTCCACACCTTCACACCATGTGATAATCCTCTCACGGTCAGAATTGCAGACGGTTCCATCTCTAAAGTAACAGGATCGGGATATGTAAAGTTATCAGATGACCTCTTCCTCTCTTCAGTCCTCTTTGTTCCTAAATTAAACTGCAACCTTGTCATCACCTACCCCAACCAGGACAGAAAACATTACCCGGTCATCACCTACCCAACCAAATCTTGCTTAAGGAAACACCACTCCATCATTGCTTGTCCAATCAGAATCCTCTCCAGAAAACACTACTCCTTTGGTCATTCCTTCCACAAACACTACTTCTTCGGTCAGTCCTTCCATAACAGATTCAAACACCACTCCACAAGCTAAAACTCAAACACATCCAAGTCCAGTGAACAAAGAATTTCAAGGTTTACAAAAGAAGAAAAGTTGGGAATATAGAGACCAATATGCTGAAGTTAGAATTGTTCAAAAGCTCATTCGATCCCTTTGAAGACCATAAAGGTACGAATTCGCAGACTCATGAGTTAGATTCTTCGTGTGTTGATGATCTTGACTTACCCATTGCTCACCGAAAAGGTACCAGAACTTGTACAAATCACCCTACAAAAAGATACGTTTTGTAAGGGAAACTTACACCAACTTTCCGAGCATTTGTCTCTTCCCTTGATTCGGTCTAGGTACCACAAAACATTTGATGAGGCAATGAAACATCCCAAATGGAAAATGATAGTACAAGAGGAAATCAATGTTGTTGAGAAAAATGGCACATGGGTTCTCGCAGAATTATCACAAGGAAAGCAGAAGGTTGGATGTAAATGGATCTTTGCCATCAAGTATAACAATGGAAGTATTAAGGGGTTGACTCAGTCATATGGCATTGACTATCAAGAAACATTTGCTCCTGTGGCCAAAACTTTACACTGTAAGAGTTCTAATATCTCTTGCTGTCAATTGTGATTGGCCATTATACCAGTTTGATATAAAGAATGCATTCTTAAACAGGATCTGGAAGAAAGAAGTCTATATAGACATACCGCCGGGAATGACGAAAGCTTCAAGTAGCCGAATGGTTTGCAAATTGATCAAGTTACTAGGGGTGTAAATGATGCGAGTCAAGCTTGAGTATCAATATACTCGACCCGAACTCGATAGCCATTTCTCAAGCTCGAACTCGACTCGGAAACTCGTAAGTAGTCAAAAACTAAACTCGACTCGAACTTGAATGCAATTTTTTGGACTCGAATCAAGCTTGAACTCAAATCAAGCTCGAAATTGAATCAATATCAAACTCAAACTCAAATCAAGCTCATGTGTCGAAATTTTTGAAATTTTAAGGTCTTCTCTTATAAATTATAGAACTTGAAGGTGTCCTCTTAAATTTATTAAAACTAAAGGGATGCACCTCAAACTTCATCATCAAAAAGACGGTTACAATCTTCATTCACCTCCCTCTCTTTTTATAACACTTTTTCATCCTTTCTTTACTATCTCTCTTCCAATTTGGGACAATTTCACCAACACTTCTATAGTTATTTTTGTCTTTTTTTTAATTATGATTTTAATAAAAAAATTATTGATTAGTTTTTATAGATAAAAATGCACAATATTGTTCAAATATCTAAAAGTATAAAACATTTTATTATATTATATTTTCAAATTATGTTGTAAAACTAATTATATTTTTTAAGCTAATTATATATAAAAAGATCAAGTATCTCACGAGGTTTTCAAGTCGAGTATTGGGTAGCTCAACTCGTTAATATGTCGAATCGAGCTCGAGTTCGAGCCGAGCCTATTCGGGTTGAGTTTTGACCGAGTCGATCTCGAGTAGCTCGCGAGTTGTCTTGTATCGTTTACACCCCTACTAGTCACTATATGGCTTGAAGCAGTCACCTCGGGCATGGTTCAATAGATTTGCAAAATCGATTGTCAAACATGGATACTTTCAAAGTTAAGCTGATCATATCTTGTTCATAAAGTTTTCTTCAATAGGAAGGTCAGCAATTCTCATTGTCTATGTGGGTGATATAATCCCAACTGGAGACGACTTTGAAGAAATCTGAAAACTAAAGACCCTTCTTGCATCAGAGATTGAAATCAAAGATCTAGGACCTCTCAAATACATTCTGGGAATGGAGGTAACCCGATCCAAAGATGGAATTGTCATATCTCAATGGAAGTATGTCCTAGATCTTTTGAAAGAAACCGGAACGATTGGGAGCAAGCCTGCAATACTTCAGTGGATCCAAACTTGAAAGCAAATCAAAGTAGTGAATCGGCTGCAGTAGAAAGGAGGAGTTATCAATGATTAATAAGCAATCTAATCTATCTTTCCCACACCAGGCCTCATTTGCCTTTCCTATCAGCATTGTAAGTCAACATATGCACAACCCTTGTGAGGAGCATTTGGAAGCTGTGTATCACATTCTACGCTATTTAAAAATGATGCCACGTCTCGGCTTGCACTTTAGAAAACACAACAGCCGAGACTTGGGAGGTTTACACAAATGCTAGTTGAGGTTGAGAGCTGACAGAAAGAAGATCGACCAATGGTTACTGCATGTAGGGAAATTTGGTAACTTGGTGTAGCAAAAAACAACCTGTGGTCTCAAGTGGGGAAGAGCATCGAACGGGTTCGAGCAGGTTCAGGTGGATGACGATGATATCTGATTGGGTTTCGGGGTTGGATACGAAGAACCGAACTGAAAGAATTTAGGGTCGGGGGACATCAGGTTCGGGGCACATCATGTTCGGGGGACATCGAGGTCGGTCAGGGGTGGTCGGGTTAGGAAAATAACTTTTTTTTATCAGAGCCCAAGTAGAGTCACCTCATCTGTGCAATTAAATGGATGTACCTGTGCAAATATATGGGTGGACCATTAGATCATGGATGATGGATGTAACTCACTGTGCACCAAAATCCTATGACAACAGAAATGGCTCA